ATGCTGAACCTTAAAGTTAGAGTTTCTTACTTTGATTGACTAGGAGTTCCACGGGAGAGATGGTACTTTTTTTCTCATACCACCCGGGTCAGCCCAAGTAACCTTATTCATGTTAGGGAGCTGATCTGCGTGAAAAGGCACAGGTTTCGGCTCGCGGCATAGTATGAGGTCAGCACAGTTGTCAACAGTTGAGCGAAATTACATTAATAATTGGCAAAGCTCAAAGTTCTCCTATAATCTTCATGTAAACGGTATGGTTTTGCTTGTACATGGGGACCTGCATGTTAGATTAAGGAGGGATGGTTGAGAGAATATTGCGACGTTTGAGAGTGCATTTCCAGAGAAATCTTCTAGCGATATTTGTCGGGCAGCATAAGTCTGTTTCAAAACTGAGGTTTTGAGCTTTCTGATAAAGCTTTATGTTGATGGTGTTTGGCTATCATAGAGGGGCAATCTTTCCTATTAGACAATCTGGAACAAGGCACAAGCCCCAAAAGTGAGTATTAAGATTGTATTACCGTGGAGATAAGTAATATAGCACTATAACCTCTGTTATACAGATTGTACGGGACATCCAGGTTGGGCTAACACTTGTCCTCTCCAGTCGTCATGGCCCAGGCCCCAAACTTGTTGTGTTACTCAGGGGTGCAGCTGTCTACCAATAAGACATTCCATCGGAGGTTAGCACGTGACTATTGTAAAAGGATTAAGGGCTTTGTATACTGAGGATATGACGGTGGACGATCAGATGTAATAGAAGCGAAGCACGAAGTACATGTCCTGAGGAGGGGTTCGTGTGCCTCATCCAAATGTCTCAAACTATTGGCCATGATAGAAGGACTTATTATGCTACTCATTATGAGACAACCTATAGCACTCTCACATATTCAGAGATAAATACTCACACAGTTGAGCGATGTCGCAAATCTCAAAAAGGAACATCTATCGGACCAAGAAGGTAGTCCGGCCCTTCGAACCCCGCTTGATTAATCTAATCGAGCACAAATAGCAGATTCAAATTGTCGACCAGGGTCCTCGCTACGATAATGGCGCCAGTTACAGGGCGGTGGCGATGCCGACAACGGCTAAGAAGCCGCACAGATAGTGGAAAGCACTTGATGTTCACTTGACGTCGCGAAGGTGGCGTGCAACTCGTGAGATCCTGGGAACGACTAATGCAGGACTCCAAGAGAGGAATTGTTGAGCATCATATCGGTCACGACAGCTCGGTGACGTTCATAATAGCTTCTCAGGTAAACGTGATTCGCCAGATTCTGCATGTCATCTTGCCAGTATGTGGCCAATTCGATTCCAATTTTTGGTAACTTTCTCCTGCAAATAGCGATAGTTTGACTGGGTATGAAAGATAAGCACTAGTACTCCAGTTGCATAGTCTACTTACCCAACAGTTGTGGACATGTGCATGACTTTGGATGGCATGGACCGCAGCAATATATGGTGATGCAGTCTAGATCTTCCGGGCCGTACGGAATTAATATCCGCGCGCAGCACGGTTGCCCGATACCAAGCAGACAATTTATGCAGATAGCTAATTCAAGCGGCAACTGGGTCATCTTCCCATTATCCGATGACGCGGGAATGGCTGATCGTGAGGACGTGGTGGGTAGTTAATATCAACATCAGCCCAGTGGCTGGTTCAAGTTAATTGATTACCTGGCCAATCAGTAAGTTTTTTATAAATCGATGTTGCATCGGTCGCACGACTTGGTCAGAAATTTGCCTAGTGTGAATCCAACGTTTTCCAGCTGAGGGGTTCGTGCATTAGCGGCCCTCGGGCTTTGGCCGTCAAGGGACCGGGCCAATGCAGCTCGCCACATATAAATTAGAGCGGACCAATAGTGATCTTCACCCTAGGTGAGGATCCAGAGCCCAAGAGTACATTGACAGGGATACCGAGTCAGCTCGACCCAGAGTGGCAACTATGGCTACCAGGTAGGAGTTTGCTAGTGGGATGGTCAGACGTGTGTCTCGGAAAGGAGGGGATAGTTGGTGTTAATGGACCTCTTTGGAAGGTGAAGGAGCTGTGATGGCAAGATCAAGTAATCTGAGAAATAGCTGGGGATGTGTTTGCTGGTGTTGTAGCAAGGACATAAAAGGTCGTGGGAGTCGCTCCCGAAGTCTGAGCAGGAAACAGAAAATTGTTCAGATCATTGCAAGGCATAACCCAGAAAAATCTCTTTCTATCATCGTCGCTCAAACGCTCAATCATCAGTACTATTGCCATCATGAGTTCTGATCCAGCATCGGCCTCATACCTGTCAGATACCAGCAAGTATGGGTATGACTTTGTCGTGTCCACCACTCAAGCATCTATCAACTCGGGGCTGCTTGAATACCTGGACAGTGACAGCCTGCCAGAGATGTACATTTGCTATTACGCAGACAGTAATGCAAACATCGTCGGTGAGATCAGTCTTGATGATGTTAAGGAGCAGTCTGGCTTTAACCCCTTCGACATCCCCGATGGTACCGACTACGATGATCCTCGCATCACTGCCCTCACTACCAAGGCCAAGTTCATCGTGGGTATCCGGATGAAGCTGGGGCTGCCACCAGATATCCTACCCAAGGACTTACCCAAACCGGTCGTCGAATTTGGCAGCAGTATCAATGACATGACATTCCACATGTACTGTCGAGAATGTGACGTGATCCAGAACTCGCCTCCCAGTGGATTTGGCGGCGCGGGCCAATGGCAGGTCTGGAGCCAGCCAAGAGACGAGGCATGGTATGTCGAGACAGAAGTCAGCCTGGTACAGAAGGATCTGGACAAAAGTCTCGATACCCCATACCTTAACCAAAATCCCAACATACAGCAGCAGCTCCGTGACCAGTTAGAGAATTTATCCGGTACGGCCTTCAGCCTGTCACAGCTCCTCTTCGACTTGGAGACTGCGAAAGCCAAGACAGTCCCATCATTCGGGGGTGTTGGCGAGAAAGCCCAGACGGTACTGAACGAGTCTTACATCAAATTCTACGCCGATGATACCGCGGGAATACCGTTGGTGGCTGTAACTGCAACGGCTGAGACTGCCGACAGCGGGTCGCTGACCCTGACCAGTCTCGATCGCCAGCTCACGTTGAACGACAACGATAGCAGGGTATCGACCCTGGACTTCCTCTGCGCAACTGACGGCCACACCCAGCCAGCCACAATGCCCTTCACCTGGAATTGGGTGGCACCCGCAGATGTTAACAGCGAGAGTGGCGTCATGGCCATCAATCGGAATACCTTTGCCGCATATCTGAAAGACCAGCTGGTGGAGATGGTACGACCCGCGTGTATTGCTGTGGAAAAGGTCACTGTTAACGGCCAATGGGACTTTTTGGATGCTGATTGGTCCTATTATTGCCTGTTAGCTGCTGGTTACAGCCCACAAACAACCACCGTCTTGACCAACGCCAGCAGCCCTGAAGCAATTCATCTTGAATTTAACAGCGAGAAACTGGATTCGGCTCATCTTGATTTGTGGTATTCTAAGCTCTGGGTCAAGACCAAGTATACCTGCGATGTTAGCTTTGAGAGTACCAACATCATTCGAATCGTGCAGCGCGAGGTAATCTGGGCCGAGGTTCTGGTGGACAGCTCTGGCGCTGACGGCAACATCGCTGATTATACGCTCGACGAGACATATTCACTCTCTGTCAATCAGTCGGGTAATCTGCAGCTCATCACTGAGAGCAGCGAGCAGACGAACGACTCGGTTGATCCTAGCGTCAGTGGCTTCCTCGACTTTTTCACCGGCATCAACGATGTCTTTGACGGGCTTGAGGAGAAATTTACCGGTTTCGCCAGCAAGGAGCTTCAGCAGGTGTCCTTTAAACCTATGCGGAGTTTTGTGTTTCCGGGAGCGCAGGTCTTTACCTTCAATCAACCACGCTTCTCCAATTACGGGGATCTGCTTTGCGGGATCACATATGTGGAGCCAAGCACACAGGCTGCTCCTGCCCGCAAGGCCTTGACCTCTAGCCAAGCTACCTCACACCAGCTGAGCGCATCGTGCGAGCTGATGCAAAACTATGTGGCTGGAAGCCTGGTCTCGCCCACTGGGAAGTTCACTGCTCTACAGACAAAGGCTGGCCTAAGTCTGGTCTTCGCGCTTGATACAGCAGGAGCCTTACATGTCTTTGAGGAGCAGAGTGGCACAACACATACCGGCTGGCAAGTGCGCGACCTCTCCTCCGCGACGCTGAAGAACGCCTTCGCAGACCGAACCGACGTTGTCGTGCGTGACTTTGATGTTGCTCAAAGCGCCATCGATGGGTCTATTAGCCTAATGATGGCAGCCACAGTGGACGAAAATGATCACCTTTTCGTCTCCTTGCTCAACTCCAGCTCTGACCCCTCGTGGACCAGCTCGCCTATCTGGAGCCCCATCCCTTTTGACGCCGAATTATCCTCGTCAGAGAATACAGCAGATAGCATCACCATCACGGGCATGCTTTTTGCCGAGGTATTTAGCAAAAAGCAGTACATAATCGTGGACACCGAGCGCGGGAGCGGCGACGCCACAGCCAAGGACATCACTCGTTATGTCGTCAATGCGGCGGCCGCCGAGGGGTCTCGCTGGGTCAAGGCAGACATCCCCGTCGATGTAGAGGAGACCAGGTATCAGAGCTGCGTAGGCCGCATATACGGCGAACGCATCGACGGAGTTTACACCAGTGGTCAGGCAGGAGAGTCATCGCAGCTGGTGTATGTGCCTCTGGAAAATGTTTATGGGGATGGTCCCCCGGAGCCTACCCGTCTGAGCCTCCCCAGTGGCATGCATCCCACAGCTATTGCGGTGGCGCGCGATGCCAACCTCGACTCCGATAAATTTGGTGGCACCGAACTGTACGCGGTTAGCGATGCTACTCTCTATCTCTATGACACCGCAACGCAGCAGCAGGGAACAGCCCCCACCGCACTTGTCACGAACGATTCCCTCTCCGGAACCGATACACTATTCGCGATGATGCAGGATGGGGTGACCACTCTTTGGGGCAAGAACGGCAACGACGTCGTCTATTACCTCACTTGCCCCAATACTCAGCTGTCAGTGCCGGGAGCTTGGTCGGCTCCAGTCCCTCTTCTGACGGAAATCGAACGACTTTCGCCGTACGTGAACCTTGCCGATGGCGGCCGAACCCTCTTTGCCGCGGGAGGAGGCGTAATCCAGAAAATCGTGCAGAAACCCAGCACAGCTGGTAGCATATGGCGACCTCAGCGCATCACTTTGGCAGCTACTGCACCTACTGAGCCTGCTCTCTCGTTCAACTCTTACACCACCACAGTGCAGGTAGTTGGCACAGATAAGATGCCCGTTCGAGATGCGTCTCTGGCCATTTCCGCTGAAACATCCACCCCGGCTTACATCAACGGGCTTTACTACGTGCTAGGCGGTACTCCGGTGACTGTGAAGACCGACGCCATGGGGACTGTGACGGTGATCGAAGCCACGGAAGATCTTCAAGGTACCCCTTTGACCGTGGAGATAGCGGATGACAGCAGCACCACACCGCTGGTCGTCCGCCCACTGGACACGGCCTGGAAGAAACTTTCCCAGTTGAACTCCACTGAGAATTTGCGTGCTGCTAAGGTGCCGACTGATATTGTTGCGGGAGGTGTACTCGGGTCAACTGAGACAACATCGCTGGTCGATTCGGCCGCTGATGACAGCGACGTGCAGGCTACTGCGGCTGCCATGGATCAGTTGGGTACCACTTGGTCGAGCATCCAGAGTGGAACGACCCGCGCCTTGGTCAGAAATCGGGGAGTTGTCCCAGCCAGCTTCTACC